ATGTCTACCTGGTTTCAAAATGATAGTTCATTTTCACCTACGGAGTATTAGACAATAACAAAACCATCAGAATCTCCCCCGAAGAAAATGTGTAACAGTGATAATCTATTTTCGGGCATCAATTAAGTTTTTAAAAAACATTTTATTATTATTATTTTTTAATTTCAGGGAAGAGGACAAACGCAGTCTCCTATTATCACAAATTATGCAGCCAAGTTTCCCAAATTTGGGGAAATTGCAGGGGTTGGCACATCCCAAGTACAATGGATGAGCCTTGCTCTGGGAAAACCACCTTCCTGATCATGGTATCTCCCCTGTCAGGTAAGTATAAAAAAGAATTTTATTATTTTTACGTGTATGAACATATTGCCTACATGTATGCAAGTACACCCATGTTGTGCAATGCCCTTTGAGGTCAGAAGAGGGTATTGGATCCCCTGGAACTGGAATTACAGGTGGTTGTTAGCTGATTTGTGGGTTCTGGGAACCGAACCTGAGCCCTCTGCAAGAGCAGCCAGTGTTCTTAACCACTGAGCCATCTCTCCAGCCCCCAATTAAGCCTTTTAACATTCGCATCCAGGAGAACACAGAAAGCCCCCACTGAGAGCTGGCATTGAGTACAGGCCCAGCACACCACAGCACTCAGGAAAACTGAATGAATGGAGGGTTGAAGAAGGGATGGAGGATGGATAGATGAAGGATGGATGAACAGAGGATAGATATATGGATGGAGGGTGGGGGGATGAAGGATGGATGGATAGATGGAGGATGGAGGGATAGAGGGATGGAGAATGACTGGATAGATGGATGGAGGATGAATGAAAATGGATGGATAGATGGATGATAAATGGATGAATGTATGGTTTTCCATCTGTCTGTGTTGCTTCTCCTGAAAGTGGCATTGCTCTTTCTACTTACTCAGATTTTGCTGAAACTCAGCCCCTAGTGAGTCCCTCTCCTACCTCCAAGAAAACATCCCACTGAGTTACCGATGATGACGCCGACTTCACAGTAGGGATCATCATAGGCACATGTCATCATGGTCCCCACGGTGTCATTGACCAAAGCCAGGATATCCACGTCCAGGTCCTGATGAACACAAGGGCCTGAGGGCATCAGTGGTGGGAAGCTGTATTCCCCTCCCCCTTCCTGCAGAGGCAGCCAAAGCAGCATACATCACTAGACACTGCCTGTGAGAAACAGGCTTCTGTCAAGGTTCAGGGTCTACAGAGCAGGAGAGGGGACCTGTGCACCTGTATTGAAGGCAATGACTTCTGTAAAAGGGCCTATGAGGACAGTCCACCAGGATTGACCCCTGGGGGACAACAGAGGAAAACATGTCTGTCCTGGGGCAATGGCATTTCCACAAGAAAACACCCATGGGGACCTGCCAGCCTGTAAGCATGGCTTCAGCCAAGGCCTGTCTCTGACAGTACCATGTTTCCTGCATGAGTTTCCTGTTCTGCTGAGTCAACTTGAGTCACTGTACCAAGGTTTCCTCAGGTCTGGAGGACTATTTTAAAATGAGAACAAAGGAACAGGAATTTGACTTTAAAAATAAAAAAAGATCAGAGAGCTGCACAGCTCAGGGGTGGAACACGTGCCGCCATTCAACAGATCTCAGTTCAATCACTAGCACTGCCAATAATAATAGTGATAATAGTAATAATAACAATAATTCTTCTTATCAGGGCAACAAGCAATCTAGGTTTTAGGTACATGTTTAGCTCAGAAGGTGCAAGTCTTACTCTTTTTTTTGGCAACAGGGTCTCACTAGATAGACCTGGCTGACTTATGTAGACAAGGCTGGCCTTCATCCACCTACCTCTGCCTCCCAACTGCTGGAACTAAAGATATGCACTACCAAGCTCAGCCTATCAGTCTTACTTTTGATGTTACATAAATTATTATAACATAGTCAAGGCCTGTACATGAGCTTTATCACTGTACCACATTCCCAGCCCTACACGGTGAGCTTTTTAAGTCTCAAAAAGGAGGGAAGGGTGGAGCTTAAACACAGCCACAGCTGTGGTCTACCCAGGTCCTGAAGGGTGGATGTGGCTGGGGACACAGGGAAGTATTAAGGCTCCTTCTCTGTGGTGCTGGGAGAGGGCTCCACATCAGAAGGTTCACTACTGAGCCCCTCTCCACCCAGTGCCTTCTCTGGTTCCTCCTCCCAGACAGTGACAGTACAAAGGCCCCCAAGACCAAGGGGCAAGGATTGGAAGAGCCGCCACATCAAGGTCAGCTTCTTACCTTGTGCCTCTTCATGGCGTTGGTCAGGCGGCTCACCACATCTGTATCCTGAACCCCCCGGGCCTTGAACTTCTTGGTCCATGAAAGCAGGACGCCCTGTGGGAAGAGCTCAGGTCACATGTACATGAAGGAGGTGCTCAGTCTGCTAGGCATGCTCTGAGTTCCCATCGGTTCTCTGCTCTAAGCTGAATCACAGTTCATTTGGTTTTCATTTTTTAAAAATATTTTATTATTTTATGTGTATAAGTATATTGCCTGCATGTATGTAAGTAAACCCAAATCATGCAGTGCCTGAAGAGATCAGGAGAGAGTGTCATATTCCTCTGGAACTGGAGTTATGGACAGTTATTAGTCATGTACTGGGAATTGAACCCAGGTCCTCTGCAAGAGCAGCCAGTGTTTTAATTGCTAAGCCATCTCTCCAGCCCCTTCATTTTGTTTTTAATTGACACATAGTAATTGTACATATTCATGGGGAATAGAGCAGTGTTTCAATACATGTATATGATCTAATTAGGGTAATTAACATAATAACCACAAATGTTCTTGTGGTAATCCTTTTATTTATTATTTGTTTCGTTATGTTAGGTTGTTTCATTATGTTATTTTGTTTTGTTGTTTTGCTTTTGAAACTGGATCTTACTCTGTAGCCCAGGCTGACCTAGGATTCAGTGTAGCTAAGGCTGGTCTCAACTCATGGCAATCTTCCTGACTCGGCCTCCCAAGTACTTGGTTATACATATGAGCCATTATGCCTGGGAAAATCCTTTCTTTTGGTAATTTGAAATATATGGGGCTAGACAGATGGCTCAACGGTTAAGAGCACTGACTGTTCTTGCAGAAGATCCAGGTTCAGTTCCCAGCACCCACATGGTGGCTAACAACCATCTGTAACTCCAGTTCCAGAGGATCTGACTCCATCTTCTGACCTCCGCAGGCACTGCATGACATGGGTGCACTTACATACATTCAGGCAAAACATTCATACACATAAAATAAAAATAATACATAAAATACTTTTTTTAGGCTAGAATTTGAAGCATTAACTAAGGACCACACATGGTCTAGCCTCGTCTTTCTCTTCAGCTTTAGTTCTATCGCCACACACTTTTTAAAAAAATTTTTTTCATATTTTTATTATTTTTATTTTATGTGTATGTGTGTATTGCCTGTGTGTAGGTAAGTGCACCTGTCTCATGCAGTGCCCTCGGAGGACAGAAGAGACTGTTGGATCCCCTGGAACTGGAGTTACAGACAGTTGTTAGCTGCCATGTGGGTGCTGGAATTCGAACCTGGGTCTTCTGCAAGAACAACCAGTGTTCTTAATCACTGAGCCATCTCTCCAGCTCCACATAAAATAATTTCTAAAAAGAAAAAAGAAATATATGATACAGGGCTACAGAGATGGCTCAGCAGTTAAGAGCACTGACTGCTCTTGCAGAGGACCCAGGTTTGGTTCCCAGCACCCACACGGTGGCTAACAACCATCCATAACTCCAGTTTCAGGGGATCCAGTGCTCTCTTCTGACCTCCATGGACATTTCATAACATGGGTATACTTACATACATTCAGGCAAAACACTCATACACATAAAATAAAAATAATAAAAAAAACTGAAAAAAAAGTACTTGAAAGAAAGAAAGAAAGAAAGAAAGAAAGAAAGAAAGAAAGAAAGAAAGAAAGAAAGAAAGAAATCCATGGGGGTAGAGTATAGTGGTGTATGTCTTTATTCCTAGCACTTCGGAGGTAGAGGTAGGCAGATCTCTGTGAGATAGAGGCCAGCCTGGTCTACATAGCAAGTTTCAGGTCATCTGGGGCTACAGGGAGACCCTATCTCAAAACAAAAGAAACAAACAAAAACAGGAAAAAAAGAAACAAAGCAAGAAAAAGAAAAAGAAAAAGAAAAAGAAAAGAGATATATGATACAATTCTGCTAACTAGCATCACCCCACTGTGCAACAGAACACAGAATCTGCTTCTCCCATCTAATTGCAATTTTGTATCCATTGACTCCCCATCCTTCCCTCCTCCTTCCCTTCCCAGCTTCTAGTAATCAACAAGCTACTTTCTACTTCCATTAATATCAGCTGATCTACATTCTACCCAGTCAAGCACAGCAAAACCCAAGCTCAAAAACTTCCCAGACACACCTCTTCCAGTCCCCTCAGCTATGGATAAGAAACTGAGACTTAGAGAGATAAGAAATTGCTCCAGGTCTCCCAGGGAATTAACAACTGAGCCTGGTTAGATAGCAGAACTCTGACCCTTCATTTGACCTAGGTTGCTTCCTGCGCCACAGTGCCACCGTGTGGCAACTGCCCTAACTTCTGTCTTCATAAGCTAATAAGCCTCCATCCTGATGTCATCAAAAAGAAAAGAAATGGAGTGGCTTCTCCCTAAAAGTTGCTTAGGACACTGAGGCAGGCCGAGCTCCATGAGTTCAAGGCCTCCCTGGTCTATATAGTTAGTTCCAGGCAAGCCAGAACTACATAATGAGACTCTGTCTCAAAAACAAAACAAGAAGGGCTGTGGGGGGCGGGGAGCAGTGCTAGAGACAGCATGGGACCTGTCCTGGAGAAATTACATGGGGAAGTGAGAAATAAAAGCTTGGGGAGGATGGCCGGGCGTGGTGGTGCACACCTTTAATCCCAGCAGTAGGGAGGCAGAGGCAGGTGGAGTTCTGTAAGCCCAAGGCAGGCCTGGTGGACAGCAGGGGCTACAGTGAGACCCTGTCTGAAAAAGACCAAAAAAGTTAGGAGAGGAACAAAAGCCTGTTTGAGGTAGGGTGTGGGGACGTACACTATAATCTCAGTACTCCAAAGGTTGAAGCAGAAAGATTTCAAGTTTAAAGCTAGGTTGACCTATATAGTAGGACCCTGTCTCAAAAAACAAACTAAGCAAACAAAAACAAAACAAAACAACAAAAAGTAATGCATATTTTTTGGCTCAGTGGTTAAGAACACTGGTTGTCCTTGAAGAAGATCCAGGTTCAAATCCCAGCACCCACATGGCAGCTAAAACTGTCCGTAACTCCAGTCCCAGGGGATCCAACAGCCTCTTCTGACCCTCAAGGGCATTGCAAGACACAGGTGCACCTACCTACATGCAGGCAATACACGTAAAAAAAATAATAATAAAATTTTAAAAAAAGAAAAAGAAAAAACATTTCCAAAGCCATAAGGCACAAAGCCTGACATTAGGTAGCTAAGGAAAAAAGAACAAAAGCAATTGTCAAGAAAACAGATTTATTTATAGCCAGGTGTGGTGGTGCATGCCTTTATGAACGAGAGGTTCTCAATATTTACCACTATCCTAGAATTATAATCACTGTTGTAGCGTTATGATTTTACCAGTCAGGAAGGAACTTAAATTTCTATGGAAACTGCCTTATTGCTATGATTCTAAGTCACAAACAAGAAAAGTTTTAAGCCTGGCATGGGAACGCATACCTTTAAACCCAGGACTGGGGGCATCTCGGGGAGAGAGACAGAGGCAGGAGGATCTCTGAGTTGGAGGTCAGCCTGGTCTACATGACAAGTTCTAGGCAAGACCCCACTTCAAAACAAAACAAAACAGAAAACAAAAAGGAGATGGGGTGGGGGGGCTAGAGAGATGGCTCAGCAGTTAAGAGTGCTTGCTGCTCTTGCAGAGGACCCTAGTTCAGTTCCCACCCACATGGTGGCTCACGACCAACCAACAGCTAGCTCCAGGGGATCTGACACACTCTTCTTGCCTCTGTAGACACCAGGCATACATACAATGCTCATACATACATGCAGCCAAATACATCCATAAAATAAAACATAAATTTTAATATAGGGTCTCACTATGTAGCCCCACTGGCCTGGAATTCTCTATGTGGACCAGGATAGCCTTGAACTCACAGAGATCCACCTGCCTCTGCCTCCAGGGTACTGGGATTAAAGGCATGCACCACCACACATGGCTATAAATAAATCTTAAAAAAAAAAAAAGAATAATAGTAATAAAAACATTGAACTAGCACTTGACAACATATAAAACTACTAGTGAATGTCCAGGGTGGTGCCATTTGTAATTC